CATTGGTCAACGGCGTGCCCCTCCCCCAGATCTCCTACCAACCCATGCCTCAGATGCCACAAAAAGGGCCACTGGGGGTCTGAATGCTCAACCACCCGAAGGGGAGGCTGGACGAACAACCAGCATCCTAAGCCCCCTGTAGTGGGGCTGGCAGAAGATTGATGGGGCCCGGGGGCTTCTTGCCCGACCATTTCCATCACCAAACAGGAGCCCAGGGTTACTTTAACAGTAGATGGTCGCCCCGTCTCCTTCCTCCTAGATACAGGAGCCACCTTCTCAGTCTTGTGAGAATACCGGGGCCCTACCACGCCAGCCATTACTCCTATAGTCGGGGAAGAAGTAAACAGATTTTCCCATTAAAAGCCCCCCCTTTTATGCACAATTCAAGACAATCCCATACCTTTCTCCCACTCCTTCCTGGTTATGCCCCAGTGTCCCATCCCTTTACTAGGACGGGACATCCTTTCTCTCCTCCACATTTCCATAACTATATCCACTCCCACAGCCCCCAGTACTCCCTTTCTGATGGCCCTCATAGCTGACGGCCCTCCTCTACCCAATGAAAGCTCCGGTTCTGCCCGCATACACCCTGAAAATCCCAAAGTTTGAGACATTACAAGCCCCACCATGGCCCTATGTCCCCCTGCCTCTATCAAATTACGTGAACCCTCTCAGTATATCTGTCAGACCCAATACCCCCTAACCAATTCAGCCCTCATAGGCCTCCAACCCATCATTCAAGATCTCTTAAAAAAAATTACCTCAGACACACTCTCTCCCCATTTAATACCCCCATATTAGCTGTTAAAACAACCAACGGATCTTTCCACCTTGTCCAAGACCTTTGCCTCATCAACATGGCCGTTGTCCCTATCTATCCCTTAGTTTCAAATCCATACACCCTTTAATTGCAGATCCCTGCCTCGGCCACCCACTTCTCAGTCCTAGATCTCAAAGTCGCATTTTTCCTATCCCTCTAGACCCCTCCTCCCAAGATTTTTTCTCCACCTGGATGGACCCATATACAAGATATTCTGAACAACTCACTTGGACAGTTTTGCCACAAAGCTTCCAAGATAGTCCCCATATTTTTAGACAGGTCCTAGCTTAGGACCTCAAACAGTTTCATCACGATCACTCCATGTCCACCTTATTACTATACATGGATGATCTTGTACTCTGCAGTCTCTCGTGGGAACAGTCTCAACTTGACACTGCCTCCCTACTTAACCTTCTAGCTTCCAGAGATTACGGAATATCCCCCGTCAAAGCTCAAATCTTCCCCTCCTGTCACTTACCTCAGATTCCTTCTATCTCAACAAAGAAAGTCTATTACCTTAGACAGAAAACGGCTCCTCTCTGACCTGCCCGTTCCCAAAACCAAGACAGAAATCCTTTCCTTTCTAGGCCTGGCTAGATATTTTAGAGCGTAGATCCCTAAGTTCTCCCTGTTGGCAAAACCCCTATACGACCTTAGCAAGGGCCCCCCTAAGGAACCATTATCCTCCTTACCCTGACACTCCTTCATTAAGCTCCGTCAAGCCCTTGTGGAAGACCCAGCTCTCCATCTTCCAGTTAAGCTCTAGTAGGAGTCCTAGGCCAATAGTATGGCCCATCCTTTACCCCAGTAGCTTATCCCTCCATGCAATTAGACCCCACAGTTCAGGGATGGGCCCCCTACCTACGAGCATTAGCCGCTATACAGCTCTTGCAGAAGGAAGCTCATAAACTGACATTCAGGGCGCCCCTTACCATTCTGTCCCTACATCACCTAAACGATCTCTTAACCTACAAAAGTTTACAGACTCTCCCTCCCTCCAGACTCCTGACCTTACCATCACCATTTCTCCAAAATCCTGTTCACCCCCTTTGCCATCCATACCCGAATTATGACTTTTTCCTCCTTTACTGCTCTCTCGCTTTTTTTCCTCATTCCTATTGTCTTCCTCGCCACCCCAACCTCCTTTGTATGGCGACTCAAAAGTCAGACAAACTTACACACAGCATCAAACAAAAGATACTGCCCTCATTGCCACACCAGACTGCCCTCTGAAAAGCTGCTCTGAGCCTTTACACCTCCACTTTCCTCCCTCTACCGGTGTTCACTAGCAGCTACCCTTATTCTCCCTAACTCTGCTTCCTCTATAACCAAAAACAAGCCTATTGCAGGCGATGGCCAGACACCTACAGGAGATGTCCCTACTGGTCTTGCGCCAATCACTACATGGGTAACTTCCAGTACCCATAGTATTACTCCTCCAACCTTTTCATGAAATATCCCAACGGCTCATTCTCCTTATCAATCCCAGATCCCTGGGACTCTCGATGAGCTGCTGGAGTCATAGCCTCAGTTTACCAGAGGGTCCTCAACCCCCCATGGTACCCTTCATATCTCTCAACAGTATGTTCCCTCTCACTCCCAGATCTCTCAAGTTGCATCAGATATCAGACATTCCGAAAAAGTCATTATCCAAACTCTTGACGGCGCCTCTTCATCTTCTTATCCCAGCCCCTCTTCCCATTTCTCCTACTCTTCATTACAGCTCATTCAGGACACCACCATCTTTCTCAACCACACCCTTAACACCGCCAATTGTTTCTTGTGTGCATCACTACAGCGCCCACTGCTGGCCGCCGTGCCCCTTAGTATTTCCAACTACTCCTTCCATGCAGAAAGACAACCGCTCTGCCCCCTGGAACACATTCCCCTATGGGAACCAGAATACGTAGATAATCTCACCATCCACCAATGTGTAGGCCCGACTCCATCCACCTCCAGTGCACTTCACCGCCTCCCAATTCCAGCACACCCTGCATTCACATCACCCTAATCCCACAGCTTACACTTTACAGCATGGCAGAATTCCTTGAGCTCCAACCTCCCTTGCCATCGTGCACCAAAAGGGCTGCTTTCCTTCCCATCATGGTCGGTATCTCTTTGACCACCTCAGCCATGGGAGCAGGGTTTTCGGTAAGAGCCTTGAGCCACTCTCTATAGGCAGTTAGAGATCTCAACGCCAAACTTGAGGGAGCCCTGACATCCACTGCCGATTCTCTAGCCTCTCTCCAAAGACAGGTCACTTCGCTAGCTAGTCACCCTTCAAAACCGGCGGGCCCTAGATCTGCTTACAGCCGAGAAGGGCGGCACCTGCGTCTTCCTCTGAGAAGACTGCTGCTATTCCGGCATTGTAGAAACTAACATTACCAAACTCACTGACCTTGCCTCCAGTTCCAACCCATTCTCTTCAATACTAACAAACCCCCTCCTCACCTGGCTCTGGCCCATTGCAGGCCCCATAATAATCATTCTTCTCACCTGTCTCTTCTTACCCTGTATAATAAAGTTCATCAAATCCCAAGTCAGAAAAATCTCTAATCAAGCTTTCAACCAGCTTTTACTCAGGAACTACCAGCTTCTGCCCACAGAAGATCCCTCACCCTCACGTAACCTCCTCACCACACGCTGAGATGGACCCCTCTCCCCGCTGGAAACTGTTCCTGGAAAGAATGGCTGCAGACGCCTAGCTCCTGACACCCATATCCTCTTGGCACCATTGGAATCAACAGGTCCTCGACCTATGGTTACAGGGAACCTTCATTGATTTCCAACCTGAAGAAGTCCACATCTACTCGTCCTTACTGTGGGGAGTCCTGTCAACCCTTTCCTACTGATCCTCAAGCCCTCACTCCCTTCTCCGCCCCCGTTCATCAGGAAGCAGTCAGAGAGAAAGCAACGTCCACAACCCCATAGAGGAGAAAGGGGGGAATGAAGGGCCCCCACTAGTAAGATGGCAAATTTCCAGCTTCTCTTCAGGGTCCTCGGTTCCTGCCGGCGCCACCTAAAGCCCAATCACCTCTCGCCCCCCCACCAATCCCAGCACCTACCCAACAGCCACCAGCCCCGTAGAAGTTACACCTCAATCAATTCATGCCCCTTCCTATATAACCCAGCACTTTTCCCTAATAAAGCAGAATTCTCCGGTGAATTGCTGCTCTGTGTCGCTCCTTTTCTTTCACAAGTTGAGTAGTTTAATAAACTCTGGCATAGCCATAAGCTAGAAAAGTTGTAGTCATTTAAAAATCATGTTATTGAACATATAATGACATGGAAAAATGTTCACAATTTGTTAAGTGAAAGTGACTAGTTACAAAACATAGTACTCAATATTAATCCATTTTGTCCAAATAAAATATATAGAAAAAAGAATAAAGATATATACGAGCATATTAGTAAAATTTCTCTCTGGCTTATGGAATTACACATTTGTAACATTTCTTCTTTGAGCTTGCTGTTTTTTTCAAATTTTCTATAATGATCATGTATTATTTTAGTGAGAAGAAATGATTTTAAAATATTGAGAAGAACATTTTCAAAAAATAAGATTACTGAAGAATAACCACTTGAGTCTGTTAATAGTTTCTTTGTTACTTACCATCACTTTCCGCAAAGTATATCGTTTAGATCGGATGTCATCCATTAGCATCTCATAAGGGGTGAGCTGATATTCAATGGGCAAAGGGTTGTACTGCCGCTCTTGGACCTTTTTAAGTTTTACTCCATTTCGCAAATCTCTCATCACCTGTACCCAGAATCTAGCCTGAAAGAACCAAGGATGGAGAGACATCCATGAATAAATTTACTAGTTTCCTCTAGCTACAGTTATACAGAAAAATGAAAAGCTTGTTTTACAAGATAGTGAGAAAACCAAACAAAAACAATTTAGAGGTTAGATTTTAGGATACTAAAAAGTGAGCAGAAAGCCAGTAGGGAATCCACAAGTTCTAAATGTTGAGGCACCTGGGTATAAATTCTAACTCACCCACTGTGGTAGGCAGCATTAATAGCCCTGTTCTTTATGCCTCCTTGTGTCTACACCCTGTCAAGAGACTTGCTCACTAAAAAGGAATAATATATTTCCAACACCTTGACTTTGGGTTTAGCAATTTGATTTGTTTGGCTACTGGAATAGTAATGGATATGATCTGACCTCATAAGCAAATGCAAGAAGGGCTGGTCACCTGTGTTTCTATTATGGCCATGAGAATATCATGCCTAGGTTAACATAATGCCCACTGGTATGACTGCCCAGGAGAAAGATGATATACACATACAGGAGCTACACACTGATCTGTACTCATGAACTAAAGAAATGGTATGGCTTTATGCCACTGTGATTTTGCAGCAGTTGGTTACACAGCATTATTGTGGCCACAGCAAACTAATACAAGAGCCTATTAGCTTCAACAACCAGCAAGTTGTTTCACCTTTCTAAACCCTGGTTTCCTCATCAATAAAAGAAAGCAGTACTTCATAACTTGTTGAGACAATCAGAGCTGATCTATATTCTGTACACAGAAAATGCTCAAAAATGACAATTTTTATATTATTTTTTCACAAATTATTTAATATCAGTTTTATTATCTAAAAATTGCCCTGTCTGCCCTTCAAGGAAATGAGATAAATATGAAGTAACTATTCATTGGATCACCTTATCCTATAGTTTCACCTCATCCTGAAATAGAGTTTGCATTGTGACTGATGAGAGTATGCTAAGGTATTAATATAATTACAAAGGTCTGTATTTTAAAAGATTCACATTTCCAGAGATACCAGAGTGGTCCGAGTAAAATCAGATGGTTTAAAAAATGGGGAATAGATATTTCCTCAAATGTTAAGACTAGGCATTCAAATTCATATAATATGAATTCATACTACAGTCCTTAAAAACCAGCATTTAAAAAAAATTACACAAAATAGAACAGAGTGTAGAAAAATTACACTATTTCTTTAATGCTAAATATCTAGCATTCTTACCCAGTCAGCATTTTTCAGCTCCTCCAGGTCTGTGTTAGATTCATCATTCTTTTCCATTTCTTGAATCTTCTTAAGATTCTACCAATTAAAATAAAAAGAATTAAAATTTAAAAAACGTAGGCATAAAAGTTTCATTACATTACCTTTTCAAATTAAAATTTTTAACAGATACCTTCAGATAAAATATATACAGAAATGTTATTGAAACAGCACAGAATGTACTTTCAGTCAATGGTAAACTAGAGTAGACATGATCCTACAGAGAGATAGACTGAGATTGCTCATTCTCTAATTTCCTTTGAGGTCTTGTGGTTAAACTTTCACTCACAATATTAACTCACAGCATCCATGCTGTATTAATGCATCCATCTTCTCAACCCCCATGTTTAATCCATCATTAAATGTCATAGATGTTACGAGCATTATACTTTTTTAATTTAAGTTCTCTTCTTTTATCTCCATTGCAAATTATTTCATTCAAAACATTATCTTATTTTACCTGAACTTCTGAAGCATTCTTGCCCTGGGTGCTCTCTTCACTCACCCCCCACCCTTCTTGGACTGGCTGGACACTCTCCTCACCACAAAGCCTGGTCTTTTTCACTGCTTACTTCTCTTCCTTCAGGTTATCAGGCTCAACAGAATCACTAATCTTTCAGGGAAGACCTCTCTTGCTCCGTGATTAAGCCAAATATTTCTATATACAATTTTATAGCACCACATACCTTTCCTCTATTGTTCTTATGAACACTGCAATTTTACATTTGTTTCTGCCTTCCCGCAAGACTCCATGAGGCAGAATTCTATTCTGAGAAGCTAATACAAGCACTGGCACTTTTGATGCTCAAAATATATTTCTGCTGACTGAATATATTTAAATATACAAAATGCCTTTTATGTATTTTTTATTTGATACACATGTATATTGCAAATGGTTACAACAATAAATTTAGTTATGCCTCCATTACCTCACATAATTACCTTTTAATGTGTGTTGTGAGAACATTGAAGATTTATTCTCTTAGCAACTTTCAGGTATTGCTAACTATAATAAAAATTCTGTAAGTTAGCTTTCCAGAATTGTTCATCTTATAACAAGAAGTTTCTATGCTTTTAAATTACATTAATTCAACATATGCAATTTTAAGAAAATCTTCATAGGTAAAACATATATTCTCATATTAATTACAAATTTGTTATACTACCCTACTCAAAATAATTCAACCTTATTATATTTTACATTTTGCTGAGCCTATTTGCCTGATTGCATTTGAACTGACATTAAATGCACCATATGAAAACTAGTTTATTTTATATACTAATGATTACTTAATACAAAACATTTCTAAAACACTGCAAAGTGAAACTACCACCTATTTTGTACTTAAATCACATGAGTATTAATACAGAAACAATAAAATTACTCTGACCACTTGAAGAAAAGTGGTATGAATAATCCATTATTTCCTCTTTCTTTAGGAAAGAAATTAGGGAAAAATGTATTTCTGATTGCTTCAGAATGTGTTTCCATAGTTATTTTAAAAGGAAGTCAGGAAAGATGGCAGTGTGAGAGGAGAGACAGAGGCTTCCTCCTAGAACTGGATACAATTAGAAAATATACTTGGCACAACTAATCCTGAGAGAGCAACAGGAAAGAGAATGGCACCAGACTGCACACACCTGGAGAAAACAGCAGACCTCACCAAATGGGGTAATGTACCAAAGCTATGGCTTGGTAGGACCCAAGCCCTTCCCCCACCCCAGCTAACCAATGGGAGGAAGAGAAACTTGAGCAGGGAGGGAGTGGAAGACTTGGGCTGCTGAATACCTAGCTCCTGAGATTTGTGCTGGCAGCACAAACCTACATTTCATGGTGCTTTCATGATACTTTTCTGATTACGGGGTTGGAAAGCTGGGACAGGTGGAGTTCCTGGGGAGATTGGGATTCCAGCTGCTTGTGGAAAGCAGGGATCCATATCCAGCTACTCTGGAACAAAAGCTTATACCTGTGTGCTCGGCCCACTGGTTCAGGCAGTGGAGATAGGCACAGCAGCCAGGAAGCAGGGAACAACTCATTCCTCCCCCCAAGGCACCAATACTGCTCCCCTGCAACCCCTGATATTGCTTTAGGGGCTGAGCAGCTCCAAAATAGAGCTTCTAGACACTAGAGGGCACCAAATAGAAATATGAAACGCCAAAGACACCTGGTCCAGAGTAAAATTATTAATACAACTCCCGACAAAGATTTAAATGATATGGACCTCGTGACTCTTCCTGAAAGGGGAGTTCAAAATATAAATCATCAACATGTAATGGAGGTACGGAAAGACATCCAAGAACACAGTAATGAATTCAGGTCGGAGATCCAATTGTTGAAGAGCGTGATGGAGGGTACTAAAAGCAGTTTGGATATGGTGGAGGAGATGATAAATGAAACAGAAATGGGAGAAGAGGAATACAAAGAAGCTGAGTCACAGAGAGAAAGAAGGATCTCTAAGAATGAAAGAATATTGAAAGAACTGTGTGACCAATACAAACAGAACAATATTCGCATTATAGGGGTACCAGAAGAGGAAGAGAGAGAAAGGGTTAGAAAGTGTCTTTGAGGAGGTAGTTGCTGAAAACTTCTCCAATCTGGGGAAGGAGACAGTCTCTCAGGCCATGGAGATCCACAGATCTCCCAATACAAGGGACCCAAGGAAGACAACACCAAGACCATAGTAATTAAAATGGAAAAGATCAAGGATAATGACAGACTGTTAAAAGCAGCCAGAGACAGAAATAAGATCACATACAAAGGAAAGCCCATCAGGCTAACATCAGACTTCTCGGCAGAAACCTTACAGGCCAGAAGGGAGTGGTGGAATGATGTACTTAATGCCATGAAGCAGAAGGGCCTGGAACCAAGATTACTTTATCCTGCAAGATTATGATTTAAATTTGAAGGAGGGATTAAACAATTTCTAGATAAGCAAAAGCTTAGAGAATTTACCTCCCACAAATCATCTCTATAGTCTTTTTTGGAGGGACTGCTATAGACGGAAGTGTTCCGAAGGTTGACTAGCTGTCACCAGAGGTAATAAAAACACAGTAAAGAAAGTAGAACAGATAATTAATAAGCAAATGTAAAATTAAATTAACTATCCCCAAAGTCAATCAAGGGATAGACAAAGAGGACAGAATATGATACCTAATATACAAAGAATGGATGAGGAAGAAAAAGGAGGAGAAGAAGAAAAGAACCTTTAGATTGTGTATGTAACAGCATACTAAGGGAGTTAAGTTAGACTCTTAGATAGTAAGGAAATTAACCTTGAAATTTTGGTAACCATGAACCTAAACCCTGCAAAGAAAATAAGTACATACCTATCAATAATCACCCTAAATGTAAATGGATTGAATGCACCAATCAAAAGACATAGAGTCACTGGATGGATAAAAAAACAAGACGCATCTATCTGCTGCTTACAAGAGACCCACCTCAAACCCAAGGATATGCACAGACTAAAAGTCAAGGGATGGAAAAAGATATTTCATGCAAACAACAGGGAGAAAAAAGCAGGTGTGTTACAGTACTTGTATCAGACAAAATAGACTTCAAAACAAAGAAAGTAACAAGACCGAAAGAAGGACATTACATAATAATAAAGGGGGCAGTCCAACAGAGGATATAACCATTATAAATATATATACACCCAACACGGAGCACCAGCATATGTGAAACAAATACTAACAGAACTAAAGGAGGAAATAGAATACAATGCATTCATTTTAGGAGACTTCAACACATAACTCACTCCAAAGGATAGATCCACCAGACAGAAAATAAGTAACGACACAGAGGCACTGAACAACACACTAGAACAGATGGACCTAATAGACAACATCTATAGAACTCTACACCCAAAGGCAGCAGGATACACATTCTTCTCAAGTGCACATGGAACATTCTCCAGAATAGACCACATACTAGGCCTCAAAAAGAGCCTCAGTAAATTCAAAAATATTGAAATTCCACCAACCAACTTCTTGGACCAGAAAGGAATAGAAATAGAAATAAATTGTACAAAGAAAACAAAAAAGGCTCACAAAAAAATGGAGGCTTAACAACATGCTCCTAAATAATCAATGGATCAGTTACCAAATTAAAAGAGAGATCAAGCAATATAGGGAGACAAATGACAACAACACAAAGCCCCAACTTCTGTGGGATGCAGCGAAAGCAGTCTTAAGAGGAAAGTATATAGCAATCCAGGTCTATTTAAAGAAGGAAGAACAATAACAAATCTATAGTCTAACGTCACAATTATCAAAAATGGAAAAAGAAGAACAAATGAGGCCTAAAGTCAGCAGAAGGAGGGACATAATAAAGATCAGAGAAGAAATAAATAAAATTGAGAAGAATAAAACAATAGAAAAAAAATCAATGAAACCAAGAGCTGGTTCCTTGAGAAAATAAACAAAATAGATAAGCCTCTAGCATGACTTATTAAGAGAAAAAGAGAATCAACACACATAAACAGAATCAGAAACGAGAAAGGAAACATCACGACAGACCCCACAGAAATACAAATAATTATTAGAGAATATGATGAAAACCTACATGCTAACATGCTGGAAAACCTAGAAGAAATGGACAACTTCCTACAAAAATACAACCTTCCAAGACTGACCAAAGAAGAGACACAAAATCTAAAGAAACCAATTAGGAGCAAAGAAATTGAAGCGGTAATCAAAAAACTGCCCAAGAACAAAACCCCTGGGCCAGATGGATTTACCTCAGAATTTTATCAGACATACAGAGATGATAAAATACCCATTCTCCTTAAAGTTTTCCAAAAAACAGAAGAGAAGGGAATACTCCGAAACTCATTCTATGAAGCCAGCAACACCCTAATACCAAAACCAGGCAAAGACTCCAACAAAAAAGAAAATTACAGACCAATATCCCTGATGAACGTAGATGCAAAAATACTCAACAAAATATTAGCGAACCGAATTCAAAAATATATCAAAAGGATCATACACCACGACCAAGTGGGATTCATCCGAGGGATGCAAGGATGGCACAACATTCG